AGTTTCATACTGAAGTATTATGGTAAAACAATTTATGAGTTATGCTACAGAAACAATCCTACCTTCTTTGTTTTGATACCTAACTATAAAAACATCTTTGATCCAATTCACCTAAAACAAACAATAATTCAAAAGGTCGGTCACCTGTAATGGCTTCTTACCACAAATTCCTAAATCCCTCTTATCAAACTACTACTTATTGAAGCTTAACGAACAAAGAACGATGTCGGCCTGATCACATGGCTGAAGTCATCAGCTGTGGACATTCCTGGTATATTGAATGATATACCAATTTGTCTTCTCACACTTAATAACAGTAATCTCGCTAATCTCAATATCATGTGTTTGTTGATGTTAAGACAGAAAGCTGTTCCACAAGGTCAAGTCACCCATTCCTGTTCATTTCCTCCCCACCAGGGGGTGCTGGTAACTAAAGATGTGCGGATTATAGTCTAAGTGTCAACGATTTACCGTGTGAAAGGTGGAGGGATAGTTTCTAGGGGGGGATTTCTGTCAGTGTCTTTGTCCGGGGCTTTGGGATTAACATAATATCATTTGTTCCGTATAATCAGAAGACACTGGGCCCTGTTTCAACAAAATGATCTCTGTGATTGTACAAAACAAGCTTAGCGCTATGACTTTCGTAAGTCTATGTTAAGGTATGGGAGTTACGATTACCTTGGCGCTAAGATCATTTTGTACAACAGCACCCTGAACATTTTCACACAGTGATCTCTATGATGGTCATACATGTACCACATAACTCTCTCACAAAGTGATCTCTGCAACAACCATAAACCGTAACTCTATGGGAGTTATGACTGTCATATTACGAAGATCGGTTTGTGAACTATAGAGCTACAAGTTTTTTTCTATCATCATAAGCAGCGTTAGAAATTGGCACTAGTCCTGTAGTCCTTACCAAACTGCCCAATAGTAAAGGTATCATAAGGACTAGTAGAAATTGGCCCATTTTAAGGGTTTTGCTATATGTTATCATTATAAGGACTAGTGGACAAAAACTGTTAGTTTCTAACCCTGATAAGCTTGTATCATTTGCAAAAATAAGTCTTGTTGCTCTCAGTTCTCTAGAGTTAGTGAATGTTATACAATGCCACAATATTCCTGTTATAACATGACAAATTGTAAATACTCAAGTCTCACCAAGGGAAACCAGTGGTCGACAGCTCATAGAAACATTTGACAGCAGTGGCCTTTTCTTCATGTTTCTTACCCAGAATCCACACAGCTTACAGAGTGAGTTTACTTTAATCAATGTTAGAAAATATGGGGTAAAGGGGTCCTTGATCAAATTCTTTCACATTTACCATCAAGTTATTCTGAGGACTCCTTGACTTGACTTTACTTTCATTCTTAATTTTGAACACTGTTGATGCTAGGTACAAACAACAAAATCCCTGAAAAGTTATCTCCCCTGGAAATTTTAAAGAATTCAAAGCACTTTTGATGATTACGTGAGAGTGGGATTTTGCACTGCTTTTAGCTATATTGCAGACGCAGAACTCCAAACATCAAAGTGGGCTTCACGACTTCAAATCTCGTGTGGATTCAAGGTCAGGTCGTCAGCATAACACATTAACCACTGGACTACCCCATCAGTCTCAACAACTTGCAGACCCTACATGGCTAAATATGGACCTAACTTAAATGATTGCAGCTGTATAGTTCAACTAAAGGAATAAATTCAATTGATTAAAAATACCCATCAATCAAAAAAAGGTATTTGCCGGAAGTGTAAAAATGAAATAGATAGGTCCTCAAAACACTTTGACAAGATGTATTCCATTATATAAAGATGCGGGGGGAATATTCATTTTGGCTAATTCTGTAAATTGAAAGGAGTGTTTCATGCTCTTGGCAAAGATCGGGTTGCAGAATTGAAGACATATTTTTTTTCAGCTTTCATACAGTTAATGTCAGTTATACAGTTGAGTTGTGTTTAACGCTGCTTTTAACAGTATTCCAGTCATATTAATGTGGGAGGAAAGCCCGAAGTGATGCAGGTGCTGACAAACCTAGAAACATAATCGGGGCGAACCGGGATTCGAACCCACAATCAAAGGTTTCTGGCGGGCCCAAGGGACGCAACTTTTTCAGCTTTCAATTTTTTTGCCTTCATCTTGAGCATTATTCAAGCTGTATGACGTAAGTCTGCAAATAGTTGACACTGGACTCTGTTCCACATAGCCATGATAGCACTGAGACTATCGGAATGAAATTCTATGTGAATTGTATGGGAATTATGACAATAGTACTAAGATCACTTTGTGAAACTGGCCCCGACACAGACAAACCGCAACAATCCAAGCCATCTGGGTGTGATTGTAACCACCAAATTTCTCTAGAGCATATCATCATGATATTTACTATTATTTATGAAAATTCTTTTTTAAACAACTTTTCTTTCTTTTTTTCAAACACTTGCCTGTGAAAAGTTCCCGTAACTGATTTTGTTAAATAATAATTTAATTAAATGAAACTTTTCAATTTTAGAGAGCATGCACCTTGCTTGGCTATTAATGTATTATTTAATGAAACTGATAATTTGTATTCTTTGATTATTAAATTTCATACTACTATTTTGTCACAACACAAGGTCAATTTCACTTTTTTCAGAATTTTTTAAAACATCTTATGATTACGTAGACCTTACCATGCCTACAGACCTAAATCTTGATTGAATAACTGATATAGTAGAAAATCTTAACTATATTATTTGTTAATGTTTTAAGTTAGTGTCTTCATTAACATCGTACTGTAGTCTCATTTTTCTACTTCAGCTAAAAGAAATCCATTTGAAAACACACCTTTATCAAAAGATTTTATCATTCATATATTTAAGTGAGATCTTTTTAACAAGTATTGGTGCAACATTACAAAAGGCAACGATAAATATGTATCTGAATATACTGGCCACAATATGTATATTCATAATCTAGAATAACAATACAAAACCCATGAACTGAAACAATGATGACGGACTTAGTCCATTTAAAAAAAACCCAGGAAAACCAAAATGATCAGCTGATTTGTAAGATGTTCATGGTTTTTCAAGCACACATAAAAACACATAAAGATATAGGGTTATTCTTAAGGTAAACATGTAGTTTGTTTCATCAAATATTGCGATACAGGCCTGTGTCAGGCCTGTGTCAGGCCTGTGTGTACGGTGTATCGTAGGCCGTGTATCGTAGTGCATCAGAGTTTGGGTGTATTGTTTCAACCTTCTTACCAAAATGCTACTAGTGTATTTATGCTTGAATTACTTTTACAAAACTAAACATGCCTCATCATAAAAGTTCAGTCCTGAATCACCTTTTTTTCTAGTTATGTATGTTAAAACTAATTATTTTGTGAATACATGTACTTAGATATTTTTTTTTTTATACAACTTCATAAACTGATATACTCTGTACCTTTGAAAATCGTTTTAAGTATCCCTACACCAGTACCGCCTTGAATACAAAGTATTTTTTTATCCTTGACAAGGGTATATTTTTCATTTTACCATGTGGAATATATATTTGCAGCAACTATTCTTGTTTATACTCAATAACACAAACACTAAAGATACAATCTTCTGGTTGAGAGATTATCCAAAATTTGTTCACTCAAGGGAAAATTCACTCTGGTGTGTTATTGTGTGTTTCAGCTGATGTGTGCTACAAAGATCACACTGTGGATGATAAGAATTTTAGTTTTCATTCAATTTCACTAAAAAGGTGAAAACCAATTCAGCTTCACAACACAGTGAAAGTAGAACCCTCGGTCACTCACTGGGAATATTTCATTTGGTTTAAGAAGTCAACGTTTTAAACTATCAGCGTACACAATAACATAGAAATTATGAAAATATCAAATACTTTCCAAATTATCCACTTATGATTTCTGTATTTTGAACCAAGATCACAGAATGATTATAGCTTTTCAGATAAAAATAAAAGGGAATTTGTTTTATAGAAATATGATTTTTAGAACATTTACACAAGTGTGGGGGCTTCAAGAGACTATAGGGGATAATTTAAAGTCTCAAGACACGCAAGAGTCTCAACAGTACACAGAAATGATTTTCACAATTGATAATACAATTGATAATACAATTGTCTGAACTCTTTCATGCAGGAATTTATTAAACCTTCTGTTGCAATAGAAATGTTTCACATTTATCATTACCAACATAACAATAATTTAATACCGTGAAATTATTGAAATACCACAGAATTATCAATTATCACTCTGGACTGAACAGTCAGATTAATGATGAATTTGTATACTATATTAGACCTTTCAATGTAAAACATTTAGTTAAAAACAAACCTCTAAAAAATAACATCTATCATCATGATAAAACATAAATCTAGTTAGTTTAACCCATGACGGCAATCTTTTAAATTTCATGTGAGTTATGTGAACAGCTGCGGCGAGATATACTGCTTTGTGTAAAGCTTTATATATTATATACAAGTACCTAGTTCCTACAACTTCATATTTATATTTTTAAGACAATTATATTATTAACATCTCTGTTCTCATTAGAGTTTACCAGTCTTCAATGACAATTCATAGAGATCACATAACATCTAAAATACCAGTTTAAGTGGACGTCTTTATGATATATTATCAAACAATTTAGAAATTGCTAAGTCATGTTATTTCTTGGATGAAAATAGTTCAATAAATCTGAAGGTCATGAATCATTCTCCCACTGTAACATTTCATGGGGAAACCAATATTTGTTCTTAATTGTAACCACAAAACACATCCAACATTTTTCTAAAGCAAACAATAACACACCTATTCTCATTGTAGGCCTACAAACATTCACCTACAATACACATGTAGTACGTATGCACCTGCCAAAATACCTATACAAATTCACAAAACAATTACCGTAAACTCAGAGATCACAGAGTTGCGATCAATATTATGAGAAAATTACCTTTATTTCACTTGAAATTATTTTTAATTTGTGTACTCACTTCTAAGATTTCTTCCTTCAGAATCAGGAGTTCCTCTGTCATACAAGTCCCCAGGCTCAGACTGGTTTTCGGAGTTTGTGTCGCAGCCAGCAGAACTTATACTCGAGGGGCGCTCTTCCTTCACAATAAATGGTGTGGTGTCCCTTATGCTTGTCGAGTCCGGGTTCGACTCACTAAAATTCGGATCACAATTTTCGCTGCTACTATAGTGACATCCGGAATCGTCCAATTTAGCCTTCTTGGCTGGTGTAAATGCAGACTGGTAGTTCTCGACCCCCTCGGAACTGTTTGGCCCCAGGGGGCGAAATGCTCCCCCTCCCCCGGGGCTTATGAGGCCCACACCCCTGTCCAAGTTGGATCTGACGAAGGGAGGGAGGGGGGCATAGATGGGTGGGGAAAATGGATCCCCTGGTCTGTACATTGTAAATGCTGTGGTATTGAAAGGTGTCGGCATATCCTTGTCCATTCCTTGTCCTTGGAATGGATGGGACGATGGCATTCGGGCCGCTTCGTGTCCCTCTGCAGTTGACGCTAACACCATGAGCGCTGGAGATGTCAACGGATTCGGCACAAATGATGTGTTTTCCATCCCTGCGTTTCCTGGTTGAGGGGTAAAGAACGGTTTAGGCCACAAGTTAAAACGAAACATGGCGAAATCGGTCAAATTACTCATGGCAAGTGTGCAATATCAAAACAGTTTTCTCAGATTTTTCTGAGTAAATATTTGACAATACAAAACTACTGGGATGACACTGTTGTCACAGCTATGCTATCCACTAGTCACATCAGCTGTTGTCAAATAATCGTAAAAAGTCCAAGAGCTACATCCTACTGTGGCTTGTCGGAGAGCTGAACATGTGTCTGTCACCCTACAGTTCACTTTACACACTGACTGATCAGTCCCGTCCCTGCACTTACACTACAACTCATTTGACACAATGAATGGGCTTCCATATATGGGAACCCCCGTGACGTCACACTCTACCAATCACTTTGGAATACACAGTGAAAATAACACAAGTGTTAGACAACGAAAGGGTAGTTAAATATGAGAAATAATGGCCAACCATAAATCTACTTTGATTAGGTTGCTAACTTGACACCCATTGATTTGACAAATAGAAGGATGAAAGCGGATGAGCGCGGATTCGTTTTACTCCTGTTTGTAAACAATCCAGCGCGCTCAGTTGGCTTGCTCTATGACCTATAATTACTCGACGAAAATTGCAAGTTTAAGCCAACAAAACAGGAAAATAATTGAATATTCAGAAGGATAAAAGGTGGACTCGATAAGTGATTGGCATATAATCATGTATTTTAGATCGATGACAATGAATATTGACAGATAGATATTGGGTATACCTACTCGATACTCCCAACTTCTAGTGGTCGCCCGGCCTCGTTTTCGATACGGGGATGTCCTCGCAGGCATTATGGGAAGGGAGGGATTCCCCGACCCATATTCACTTCCGTATTTGATAGCAGACGAATCTCTGTGGGCTGAACGGTGTTTGTAAAACACCTTGGAACGGGAAACGTTGCAATTGTTGTGGTTACTTGTTTCTCAATATGTTAAAAGACTGATATTTGTGAAATATTTAAACTGTAGATCAATGTTAGCGTTTCCACAATATTTACAAATTTAAGATCGATCTAGAATCTATCATATTTTTGTCTCGTTTGCATCTCTCCGTAATACCAACGTTAAAATGAAATTGTATATTCATCTAGATGTGAGTAAGTGAAAATAGCAACCATATACAATTACCTGGCGTATGTTTCATCCTTGAGACGAAGACACGTACGGTAATTAAATTGCGAATTTAGTTTTTTACGTTTCCTGTTAACAGCCATTAATATATTGCATTCAGTTCAGTCATTTCTTTGGCAGAGCTAGATATTTTGGAGCTAAAATACTGTGTTCAGTGTAGAGCTAGGTTATCGGTTCTTTCATCGCGCTAAATTATACTGGGAACCGAACGCGCTTTCTCGTGGCTGTGTCTCTCATGAAAATATCAACTTTGTCAGGTCATTCAATGAGACATGAATTTTAACGTGTTATTTGACAGGTAAATACAGATAGCTCAACATATTATACCGTAACAGATGATAGTTATGTAGACTTGTAAAGCATCACTTAGACTAACATATAGTTCCAGGAAAAAAGTCATTTTATAAATAATAATGTATATCAACAAAATAAAAATCCAAATGGAACCCAGAACAAAGGTAAATTAGACTTGCCAAATCATTCTAGACTTTTACTTGGATTCAATTTTTCATTTTTATCCTAAGACAGACTATGCATCACTGTTAACCGTCAAAACGCTTGTTGAGTATTGTATTTTTTAAGAGATGTTGTAAATTATAGTTAATGAACAGTTAGCTCATGCAGGCCGCTATAAAGATAACAGTGCTCATTTGGAACATGCAGTTGAGTGTGTGAATGAGTATATTCTTTACGCCACATAGAAATATTCAAGCAATATCACGGAGGGGGACACCAGAAATGGGCTTCTCACCCTGTGGGGTATCGAACTTGGCCCTTCGGTGTGACGAGCGAATGCTTAAACCACTATAGACTACCCTACCGCCCCTCATGTTATTAATATTATGTGGAGTTAAACAGTACATCAGGGTGTTATACACTGCCGGGCAAAAGATATACCCATGTTTGGCTAAAATGAAACAAACAAGACATGGTTATTCGATAGTGATGTATTGATACGGGTATCATAGTTGTGTTTTGGACCTTAAGTTTGTAGTGTTTCGACGACTGTTTTCAGTCAAGTGACGTTTTGAAAACGTTTGTAATGTTTTCAATTTTCTGTTGTATACTTCCTGTAACCTGACGGTTTATCTCTACTCTCTTATGAGTGAGTGAGTATGGTTTTACGCCGCTTTTGGCAATATTCCAGCAATATCACGGCGGGGGACACCAGAAATGGGCTTCACACATTGTACCCATGTCGGGAATCGAACCCGGGTCTTCGGTGTGACGTTCTAACGCTTCAACCACTAGGCTACCCGACCGCCCCCTACTCTCTTATGATAAATATAATGGACATGCAACACCCTAGAGTTCTTTAAACATTATATTAACAGTCAATAACACTATATTATCAACTAAGTAGAGTAGCTTGGTTGTTTTATTCAAACTGTTCTAAGCATTTATGTTCCCTATGCAAAATGCAGATGCTAAATTGAAGCTAAGAATAAGTTTAAAAAAGATCGTCACTGGTACCTCCAGGATCATACCCTGTGCAGCAGTTCAAACTTATCACCAGTAAATATGTGACCTCTCACCGCACCCAACCTAATTGTCCGTCACCCCTACCCACACCCCCGTCTAGTCTGCACACTCACTCGCTTTGAAACGAGTGTGCAATGTTAAGTGTGTTAGTGAAATTAAGTCTCATAGAAGTAGGTTTATGATAAAACATTTTTGTTTTTTTGTTTTTACACCAAATATCAGATTATGCAAACACTTTTGTTGGATTGGGTAATGTGGGTCGGTGTAAAATGAGGGAGGACAGACATATTGAATAGAATCAAGTGTCTTGAAAACAAAGGAATTGTTGACGTCACTTTATCTTCTGTTCTACCGTACCCAACACCACAACCCATCCCACTTATCCCAAAACTACCATACCCAACCACATCCCGCCCTACCCAACCACAGCCTGCCCTACCCAACCACAACCCATTCCAACCCTACCCAACCACAACCCATCCCACTTATCCCAAAACTACCTTATCCAACCACAGCCTGCCCCACCCCACATCTAAAGATCCACTTCACTCTCTTCAAACCAACCACTAACCTACCCTATTCTACTCCACTTCACCCTACGTATACCCTACTTTCCCACATCCTACCCCACAACCCTTCCGACCACACCCTACCCTACCGAGGCACAATCCACCCCACCCATCGCTAACCTACCCTACCCCACCCAACCCAACCGAACCCTATACCCTACCTCCCGAAGATCCTCTCAATCCACCCGTCTCTGCAGTAACTACCAACTCCTACTCTGGCCGGCACTACTTCACCCTACCCCACCTGAGTCTACACCACCCATTACCCTACCATCAAGACCCCACTCGACGCCACCCTAAAATCTTAAACTCCCCACGAACTATTCTAGAACCACTATTAAAGAACCCACGGCCGCGCGACGTTGATTAATCTGTTTCATTGTTTTCTAAATTGGAAACGGCTATCAAGAAAGAAGTTTTAAAAATTATTCATTTCCGTGTTTAAATCTGGAAAGTCAAATTACATGATATGTTAATGAAATTTCAGATGAGGCGGAAAAGTTTTCGTCTTAAAAGTATAAGTGGTTCCAAGGTGGAATGAATTTGAATGCGTTAGTTCAACTGTAGAATCACCTTCAATACTCGTCATAGGCAGAACACGTGGGGGGAACTTTCGGGTCGCCGACTAAGGGATTTCTAACGCTGAAGCTGAAATTTTATGTTAATAAATTCTGTCTGTGAAAGACTTCAGCAACAAAAGAGCAAATAGTTTAGACTTAGATGCGAGTTTTGAAAAAAAATCCCCGTCATAAAAATCTCGTCAAGAGCGTATTGAGTCCCTAAGTCAACATATTTAGGCCGGGGTATCAATAGAGGTTGATAAACCAATCATTTCATATTCCACGAGCGCGGCCGAGGTTTTTAATTTTACGCATGAATATTGTCGAATATAGTAGTCTCCTTCAAATGAAGCCGAGCAAGTCTGTCAGGAGTTATTTGGGTCCTCAGTCCTTTTTCCAAGTCAGTCTATTCCAGCCGCTACCCTTTGTACAAGAAACCCTTCCGCTGTCAAAGTTCCAAGTCAGTTTCAAGTCGTTTGAAACGATCCTCCAGCGCAGATGAACATTTTATTATGGACAGCATAATAAAGTGACAGCAGCCATCTATCATTTACGGATTCGTCGCTCACCGCTTTTCAGGCATTGTGCCCCTTTCTGTGCGCGGAGGAAACTCCATTGATGGCGACACACTTGTATTGGAATCAGCGACATAGCCATTGACTTGCTTTAGTCCGTGCTTCTGACGGGAGTCTTTAAGTTGTAATCTGTTTTATTACAGAATCACCACGTCGCCTTTGAAACAAGATTGGGGAGTTCAGTCTAACCCGGGTGGGCGATTTGTAAGACCAAAGGGAGCGAGTTGAGTGATCTTGAGTGTCACGGATAGCTAAATGTCAGCACCGCCTTCATACTAACGCCACGTGTTAATTTTAACTACAAAATTACCTCTACGGCTCATTTTGGCAGAGGGTCAATATTTGCAGATTTAGAAAATTTGCATATCGACAAAATCACGAGTTGACAACTGAGTTTTATCTTAATCCGCATTGTCGTCTGCTCGTCGTTTTCCTGCCATGCATTTGGGCGAAAACAATAGACATGCATAGGGGTGAAGGGTTGGACGACACTACTTGACTCGGTGTCCCCCTTGTCGAAATCAGCCAGCCATACTTCCCCTTTTGGAGTATCTGTACACACATAATTAATATTTGATTAAATCAAGTCACATCTCCCTCCTAATGGTGTGTGACACATCTATGATGAGGTAAGGCACAATTACTGCGAACTCGTTTCTGAACTGCTCTCTCAACAAACGCTCGTATAAGTCATTATGACGTAAACTATTTGGAATTAATGAAGCGTGGCATCTTGTATCATTTGAGGACAATGCGTGATGAAGTCATCAGCAGGAATCCCTAGCAATGGAATTATTTTCCGATCAAAGTTACTCACTCGTTTAGGGATAATGATGTATTAATTATCATTTGAAAAAGTGTCAGAGCTTTTGTGTGTGTAATCACGCGCATTAGGCCTAAATCGGGACACACAAACTAACACAAACGATCTCAAACAAGGTATGGACAGTTGACAGAATCAAATGTTAGCAAAT